GGTACTAAACAAGGGCCCACAAATCCTGGACAAACTACTTTGTTTTAAGCACTATCTCGTTTTCAAGCAACACAAGACAAACGTTATCACGGTTTGGGCAGCCAGCTCTCGTCATCGAACTCCTTCCATGATGAACGTTAATATGGTTTGGGCATGGATGCTCTGGCCAGTGTATGCATTCAGAACATGAACGGAACCAGGGTTTAGGCTGGCTGCTCCGGTCATTGGATTCAAAAAAGACGAACGAAAGAATGGTTTGGGCAAGGATGCTCTGGACATTTAATTCAATACAAGATGAATTTCTTGTGGTGTGGGCGTGCATGCTCTGGCAAGCGTCTGCGCTCGGAACACGGATGTTATTCTGGTATGGGCATGGGTGCTTTGGTTGTGGCACTCACTAAACGACGAACGTTATCATGGTTTGGGCATGCGTGCCCTGGCAAGCGTACGCACTCGGAACACGGATGTTATTATGGTATGGGCATGGGTGCTCTGGTCGTGGCACTCAGTAAGCGACGAATGTCATCATGGTTTGGGCATGCGTGCCCTAGCAAGCGTACGCACTCGGAACGCGGACGTTATTATGGTTTGGGCATGCGTGCTCTGGATTGCTCTGGTCATGGAACTCAATAAACGACGAACGTTATTTTGGTTTGGGCATGGTTGCTCTGGTCATGGAACTCAATAAGCGACGAACGTTATTGTGGTTTCGGCATGCATGCTCTAGCAAGCGTATGCCTTCGAGACACGAGCGCTATGATGGTTTGGATATGGATGCTCCGGGCATGGAATTTATCAAAAGACAAATGTTGCTCTGGTTTGGGCAGCATGCTCTGGTCATCGAACTCCTTTAATTGAATGATGAACGTGAGTATGGTTTGGGCATGGACGCTCTGGCAACTGTATGCATTAAGCACACAAGACAAACAGCGTGTTCTCGACATGGATGAGTGCGGAAGTTAAAGTTGAGCCAAAATAGTTCAAAATCCCGCACGCATAATTTTGATCAACACTGAATTGCGAAGCGTTCGCGCGCAGCTGATAATCCAGGCGATCATCTCACCCCCAAGCGCCGGAAAAATGCAAAACCATGGCATCCAGGCCTGTGGACAGGAAGATCCGTCGGCAAGCCAAACAATATTCCGGAAAAATTGACTCAGCACGCAGACCGAAGTCCCGCGATGAGACTATATATCTCAGAAAAAAATGCGTTTGATGAAAAAAATGCGTTTGACCTTAAAAGACACAGGACACACGGAACGTGCCTAAACCTTGACATGTTAAACAGCACGCGCAGCATGCAGGCGATTCTCAGGGAGTAGGGTGTATAGTTTTTGTAGTATAACTCGAACGGCTGTCAGAGTTGAAGGCGTGGACTAGGGCTAAAGGCTTGCAGTTCAGGGGCCTGTTGAGGATCAAGGCTTGGGGTGGGGGCTTATTAGGGTTGGGGCTTGAGGAAACCAGCATGGGGCAGGCATTTGGGCTTGTGGGGCTGTAAGTTAGTTGCGTTGTGGCTCACTTTGCCGTACATGGGGTACCCCCAGCTGGCTGAAGCTTTTCAGGACGGACCTGAATCTGTGAAATCTGTCTGACATTCAGGCAGTGCTTAATCCAAAGAGCAAAGCACTCTCGGGACCACACTTATGGGTCCGAACCCAGCTTTCAAAGCGAAACTTTCTTACCCAAAGCCTCCAAAAGTCAAGCCTTGAGAGGCAATGGAACTTTGTGGAGCAGCAGGCAAGTCACAGCGAGCAAGTGGAGCATGGCGGCAAAATATGAAAAGGTGCATCAGCCTCGCAATCTAGGGCTTCAATTTTGCAGTGGAGTGTGTATTCAGATCTTTGCTCGTGTTGGCATTCCATGACATCCAGCACTGACAGGTGCATCTGTTTTAAGTTGTTTCTGTGATGTTCTGCGTTTTTATGTGACAGTCTGTCATTAGCCAAAAGGGACTGGAAGACCTGAAGTCGTGGTGCACAAATTTCATGCCGAACTTCACTTTTTTGGGCTTGCTTCAGGGGAAGCTTGGGGATCCTTCTGAGATTGACAGGCTTGGTGCGCAGATGTGGTTTTCAACAAGGGTTCACAATGGAATGCCTTAGACCCGGCAAGCCCTTGATAATGTCAAAGAGCTTCGAACCATCGGCCCTAGTATGGGCTCCTAATTCGGAGGTTCTGCTTTCTTTTTAAATACCTTATACAACCCTGATATTGGACGTTAGGACCTTGGACATTGACGGATAAGCCAGGTCATTGAGACTGTTTCTGTCCACGTGTTAATGGTCGAGCGTTGCATCACCATGGAACAGAGGCGCTTCAGGAACCCAGGTTTGTTTACACTTGCTTGGCCTTCACTGGTTGGCCCAGTGGAGCTTAACAACGCAAGCTACAAGTGCGAGCGGATGTGACAACTTTTGGAATTTCGAGCTTGGGTTCCGTGGATGAATTTTTGAGCCTTAAGTTTCAAACATGCTTTGAAATATCAGAGTCCCAAGTCTGAAAGGCAACGGATTCGCTGCAGGGTTGATATATTCATTTATGAGGGCTCCAAAAGTTGACGGGCCGGGCTATCGGACTGGGGCTTTGGATCTGAGTGTCATGGGCATTTGCGTTCTACCGCGACTTTTCGATGTTCAATAGCATTGCGAGCGTTCGCAGCGCAAACCAAACAGACTGCCTAATGTTCCCAAAGCACCACAAAGCATTGAACTTCGATTTTCTGCCACTAAGAAGGCTTTGAGGTTTGAGGGCCGGCTTTGACTTGCCAGGCATACTGCGTCCTACCATCTGAGCCCTAGGCTTCAACTTGCCAAACCTTACGACCAGAGTCTGTTGCACCACAAGAGACGCAGGATAATTACAAACAAGCCGCTTGGGATGAGCGCAGTTGCAAAGTGACTCCGCTGTGCTACTCAAAGCCTCCAGGCTTGGAGTGGAGGGGTGTAGGATTGAGGGATGGCTTCTCAATCGGCCCAACTAGCCCTAGCTTTCAACGGCAGGTCTAGGATTGTCCACGTCCATCCAGCAAGAAAGTAAAGGCCTACTGTCATCACGCAACGTCAGCCATGGGCGGCAAGTATGGTGGCAAGGGCGGAGGCCTTGTGGTTACAGAGCCGTTCAGTTCTTTAGCCGGTGCTTGTCATCATGCTGGTCGAGCGCTTTTGCAATTCGTTCTTTCGGCAACGTTTGCTACCCTCCTTGCAATGACCATGCACTGTTCGCTGAGCCCTACCTACCATACATCGTGGCGTTTCATGACTTGTCCCATTCACCGTGCAACTCACAATCGCGAGGCCCTGCTCCCAGAGTCTTTGCGTGAGATCGTCTCTACAGAGGTTTGTAAAGCTTATTGGCTGAGACCCTGAAGCCTCCCCGAAGGTTCCACATCATTTTGACATGATTCCATCCAGGTTTGCACCTGAGCCCTCAGAACGCTCCTCTGAAGCCCTGCATCCTTAATCTCTGAACCTCAAGCCCGGCATGCCGACTGACTAGTCTAAAGCTTCATCTCGCATGACATCTGTCAAACAGGTGGTGGCCTGCTTCAGTACTTCGGGGAAAACGTTCCCGAACGTGTGATAAAGCTTTGGGGTTTGGGACTTCCCGCATTATCTTGATCGCCTGGTGTGAACAGACCCAGATATCAGCCGTATCAAAAGCGAGGTCCCCCAAGATCCGGTCGTTGAGAAGTTGTTCATGCTCTTTTCTGATTCTACTTCTACAGCATTTGTTGATCATGATGGAGTTCATGCCGCTCGAAGTATACTGTGGAAACCACAAGAAGTGTTGACATGTTCTCTTCTGATCTTGTATCATCGAGAACACAGCAAACCATACAGCTCTTTTGCCTCAAAGCCTACTGTTGCCTTTTCCGCCCAACGCAAGATTGCAAAAGGTCTCAAGCGCCCCCCATCCCCAAGTGCAACCCCAGACCCCAAGCAATAAAAGATGTCCCAACATGTCCACCAAACATTTGGATCCCGCTTGTAGCAACCCAAAATGGCATCAATAGTCTTAAGATTTCCTGATGCCTTGAGGCGATAGAGGAGGCTATGGAGGCGGGTACAGCGGCAGCGGAGGAGGTGGTGGAGGTGGAAACTATGGCAGGGGCCTGAGATTGAGCATTCAGGGGTGCAGGATGGAGCCTCAACAGTTGTCGGCAATCAGCATCTCGGGGTGTAGGGAAGAGATTCGGGTGTAGGTGCGAGAGTAGTAGAGGCCTCGGGCAGAAGTCATCATTCTGTTTTGACAGACTGCACAGGTTCTTTGGCTTGATCCAGGGCCTAATAGCAGCTACTGAGCGGCGAACGCGCATGATGATCGTTTCGCTTGGAGATCTCACAAAACCTTCGTCTTTGAACCTCGAGCCGCTTAAGCCCAACAACTTACGTTTCAGTCATGATTGTAAGAGAGAGCGTTGTACATGACCACAGTATCCCAAACCAACTGGTACACCTGACTCGAACTAGGGTTTCTTACTGGATACACCCCTGGCTTGTATATACGTCTGTCGGGTTGAAATGGAAGCCCGAAGCCCAAGGCTCAGGGGCTATAGGGTTTTCTGGGAAGTCCAGGGTAGTCACGATAGAGGTCAGAGGCTGTTAGTCTTCAACGAGGTCTTACAGACCCCCGTCTTTTCCTGGCTAAGCTTCTCATCGATCCTATGGTTCCAAGACCAAATGAATACTTCTCGCAATCCTGGCCTCCTTATTACTCAACCCCCAAATGATGCAGGGACCTCAGAGGCTGGTATGAGCTTTGGCCTGGCCCAAATCCACATTTTCGGCTCGAGAAGGGGGCTTCCGGTATGCCTGTCAGGCTCTTGTTCCATGGTTGACTGTCACAGTAATTAGGAAGCTTGTCCCTCCGCTCTCATTTTTGTTTGGCTTAGGGTTTGATAGCGCAGATAGCGGCAGGAGCGGCTGGGCATTTGACTTCCCTCCTTTGAATGCACAAATTGTGGGCTGCAAAAGTCAGTGCCACATTGCTATTGCGGGGCCATGACAACTATGTTCATTCATGTGAGCGGCACAGGGGTGGTAGAGATCAGCTTGGATGATGAGGCGCCGACTGCAGGACCTGATGGGCAGCTCGTTGTACCTAAGTATCGCGTGACCAAGCAGCAAGACCTTCCACCCAGACGTCGCATAGGCTCCTGATGGGACTGTTCAGGGAGTCCTTGTGCGAGACCAGGACGCTTCGTGGCTGCGGTGCAGGACCACCTGGCAGAGACCTGGCACGGCAATGCACTGCTTTCTCGTGGGCCTCGGCAGTTTGCTGCAACGGAGCATCTCTGCTCCGACGGAGGCCGGGCCCCTTCAGAGGGATGGGGGGCCAAACAGCAGCCTTCACTGGCGAGAAGGTCACCCACAGGGTGCTGGGAGGACCATCTCTTTGCTTCAGTGGTTTGGAGTAATTAGCCTGCATAGTTGGAACGCCTGCAAATTACAAGTTCTCGGCTTTTTTTAGCATAAAGTCCAAGCCATCCAATGTCTTCCTGAAATGCTTTGGGGTTCCCCAGCGTTGTTGAGTACGTCAACATGCCATTTGACCTGCTTTATTTGACCTGAACAGATGATGGCCATGCCTACGCTTTTGCGCTGGCCAACTATTCGCGCCTGGGCCCCAAAGCTGACAGCGGGCCCCTGGAGATCCCCACGGAGCCTCCGATCTTGGGTGAAAAGCATTATGGAAAGCATAGACACAGAAATGTCACGTGCGGAGTTGTCTATGGTGGTGGGTATGATATGTTATGGTAAGTTTGGTATGATGCTTTGCAGCGTTGCTTGCACCAGTTAATGGTAGAAAGGCACGCTGACATCAACCCCATGCACAGTATAGCATTTTACACGGGTGCAATCGCAGAGTCAGGCAGAAAAGATGTGGGTGAAGGAAGGGCATGGGCTTAAAATGTTGAGGATATGATGACATCCAGGGCCCCGAAGGCCAAATCCACACAGTTGGCGATTTCTTCCGCATAATTTCTGTCTTGCAGGAGCTCTGCGGGATTACGATCCAGCAGATCCAGGACCTCATGGATTTCGTCCGCGATGCAGTGGTGTTTTGGAGTGGGACCTTCGGGAAGGAATGGGGCACGCCTCTGTGCTACGAGACATTCAACCTGTACCATGCGCGTGATTGGGTGATCCAACCCGCTACGTTAAATTGGCGTGCAAGAGGCTGCAGCTATGTCGAGCCACTCGGACGGTCTAATTAGAAGAGAGGAAGAAGGGACAGTGTGAGATTGAGTGAGGATGGAGGCCGACTAGTAGAGGGAGCAAGCGAAACTCGTGCAGCCGACCTTCTTTGTCCCTTCTTGTCATCTCAACGGAAAAAGGTGAGAGACTGAGACTCCAGACTCCAGATCTCCTGTTGCTTCTTTTTGGGTGGCATTTGTACCGAAACCATGCGCTGAGGTTGGTGGCCGAGACTTCGGCGGCCCAGCAACCTACGTGGTTCGTTTCGCACGCATGGGTCGAACCCGTGGTTCACTTCCTCCAGTGCCTGCGCCGTCACGCGCAGGTGCGCGCCCTTCGAGGAAACTTTGCGTACTGGGTCTGCGCCTATGCCAACAATCAGCATGTGCCCTGGCCGCCACATTGAGCTGCCAATGAAAGTAGAAGCCGTTCTTGTTTTCCAGTCGTCTTCTGTTCCAAGGAGCTCGAGGAAGAGATCCCGGACAACCCTCGCAAAACATCGTTTTATCGGGCAATGCTTCTTTGCCGCGGAGTTCTGCTTGTGCTGGATGGTGATGCCACGCCTTTTCGGCGCATTTGGTGTTCCCCGGCTTGGTTCGTGCATTGATTCCCACACCCCCTTCAAACAATATATCCTAAGTATCCGATTCCCGATCATTATAACCATGGTCATAATAATATTCACTACATTTCACGATTCAGGAGGCGCGGGGCTAATAAGTGTGGGGAGGTGGGTGCTCCGCTGTGCATGGTTACTCTTGGGTGGCGGGCTTGAGGGCGGCTGCTATGCTTTAACCTTGTAGTTGTTTGCGAACTCCCAGGCTGCTTCGAGGAAAGCATTGCTGTCACCTGGCTTTACAGGATTTTGTGTTGAGACTGGTAGATTTGGGTTTGAGATTTGAATCGTCTGCAGTTTGGTGTTGCACCCTCCATAACTCGCACGCCTTGGCGAGGTTGAGATAACTCGCACGCCTTGGCGAGGTTGAGAACCGCGACTCTGCTGGCCTTCGCCTAGATGTGGCCACGGCGGATGGCACAACCGCCCATGTTATAACGGACAGCTGGTAACATGTTTTTTGCAGTGTTTGTGTCGAATAGCAAGTCTCCCTCACAGAGTGCTACTGCTATTGGCAACAGCTTATCATCCGACTTGAAATATCCAGGATGGCCTGGCAGGCGAGGAGACCTCCGTGCTTCCGGTCCTCGGACTTCTTGCCAAGTCCCGTCGCGAGGAGGCCTTACTAGCATTGTCTTTTGATAAAACGTTCTGAATGGTGCGGATGACTTGTCTGTATAATAGTATATGTGGGAAATATGCCATGCAACCATGGGGATTCGGACAGGCCTTCCCAACTGCACTCCTTCGAAGGGGGCTCGGGATCCAGATCGAGCAAGCGCAGGCCTCTCAGGAGGTGGACAAGACTCGCATCCTCAACAGCATTGCGTTCCCCCGGTGTGACACCAAAGCTCTTGATGCAAGCTATCAGGAGAACCATCCAAACTACGAGGTCGTGAACCAATGCCTTGCGTCGCACTTTGCTCTGAACAGCCTCTATGGTTGTTATGCAGAAGGGCAGGACCCCAGTGCTTTCCTCAACAGCTTGCGCGCAGATGCACAGCGAGCCACCGTGCAACTCAGTTTAGCAGGCTGTGCCCGGTTTCGGGACGCGGAGCTTTGCTTTCTACTGGAGCACCTGCCCAAACGGCTCCTGAGCCTCCGCCTGGACCTCATTTTCACTGGCCTGGAGGCCTTTGGATCCTCCGAAGAAGGCACTTTCGGCTGTGACGCCTCCTGCTTCGTTTGCCCCAACTTGCGGACACTACAGCTGCGCTTCATGGGCAAACTCCGCGAAGCCCGCGGGCTTGCGGCGTTCTGCAGTCCGGTGCTGCAGTATCTCGAACTTTGGTTCTCCAATCTTCCGCGGCTTGAGGACCTGCAGCTGGGCCACGAGAACGCGGCCCTGCTTCTAGGTCTGAAGAAGGATGTTTGCTTGACTTTACTACGCTCTTATTTGCTCTTTGGACTTTAAGAGCTGTTCAACTAGCAGTAGTGCCTCAAGCCGTGGTTAGAGCAGGCTGAAGCTGCGCTTGGAGCAGCTGGTCACTTGGAGGAGGTTTTGTTGCACACGTGCTGCCTCGCTCTCTCTCACTCTCACTCTCACTCTCACTCTCTCTCTCTCTCACTCTCACTCTCATTCTCAGTCTCTCTCCACCGCGGCTTGAGAGTAGGGTAGTTCGGATGTAGCAAGGAGGTCCAAGGTCAGCCATATTATGGTGCTGGGTTTAGTGTTTGTTGTCGGAGAGGTAATTGAATGTTGCTTTTAATTAGATGCTGTAACTTTCCTTTATCCTTTAGTCCTCTGCTTGCTTGTGGGCCCAAGTCCTTCATATCCAGGGATGCCCTCGTGTGCCGAAGGCCTCCAAGCAATCGCTGCACCTGGGCAGTTGGAGACAGGTTGCCTGCACGAAAGATGCAATCTAACGGTTGTGACTTGTGATAAGTGTCTTGGGTGGTGTACTTCGAAGTGTCTGGTCGCGAGACCTCAGAGTGTGCTTGGGTATATTGTTTGGACTTCAGGGGGTTTTAGTTCTTTCCGTGGCTTTCGGGCACAACTCCCATCTGCATGTTGAATTTTGAAGCATTGTAGGCATCAATCTCTCTTTCTACGCTCAGCTCAGGTACAGCGCTGCCCGAAGGCTTGGCAGCAGCAATACCGACCTGGAGATGTGGCTCTGCGTGGAGGACTGCAGCGTGGATGTAGCAGGATGACTAGGAGGAGTCGTACGGGTGTCCTGCCCCAATTTCTTTAAAAATGTCCCCACATGGTGCTGTACTACAGTAAAATGCTAACATCATCATATATGGCCTGGCTTGATTTCTTACCTGTCCAACTTGCAATTTTCAATATCGTGTCAGTTTGTTTTCCTGATACTCATTTGCTTTCTATTTCTGGGGATCACAGAATTGCCAATGTTTATGTTTTCCTTGGTCGGGTGAAGCTTAGGCTTATGTTTATGGGCTTGGTTAGTGGATTTGAGGGTCTCAGTTAAAACACAAAATTGCTGGATGAATCACGCCCTCTGTCAACAAGGACACTGTAAGGCATATTCCGACTTACACAATTTGAAAACGGTTCTGGGGTAAAATAAAGAAGGAGCGTGGGTTGGATCCCTAGATTAATCAGCCAGTTTACGCAGTTTCATTTGGTTTTCAAAAGAGGAATCGCCAACCCAGAAAAGCACAGCGCCAGTCAACTAGCCGTTAATTGTACGCAGAACCATCCGTGCGGTAGTAGTCCCGAAGCAATTCTAACACCACTCCTAAACCCTAGAGCCGCTCCATGAGCCCGCCCGGCTCGTGACCGGAGCCGCATGCTGAAGCCCTGATCCATATCCAGGCGTAGACCATCTTATACTACATATGCATGGAATGCACCTTCAGATCTCATCCTGATGATCACAGTTATGTGACCTTCTATCTTCAGCAGAAGAAATGCATTCCTCCGTGCCTGGATCCAAAAGACATCATCCCCTGGGATCAGCAGAACGCCGGAGGATGTGACAACCTGGCCAGACTACTTGAAGGGACTTGCTATGCTGGGACAGGGAGCCCTCCAGCGGCTGCTTTTCAAGGCTGGCCTGTTAGGGCCTAGACTCATGCGAATGAAAGGTATTGTATGCAGTCAAGGCGGTCCTAACGTATTTATGGGGACACGCTGAAAACTGTGGTCACAGCTACGTGGGCCAAAGCAACAGGTACAATCTCACTGGCAAGCTGTATGGTTTGGACAGGATACTGGGTTCGTATAGGCTATGAATAGAATTGAAGTAGGACTTCTTACAATCAGGGATAGTTAGCGGCCACTGAATCCTGGCCTCCTTCAAGTAGATACCTCTGACTGCCAGGCCCAGCCTCGCGCTGTGCTGGGCACAGGCGGGAACAGGGTTCAGGGGGATTCTTTCATGTACTCTTCCAAAAGTCATTGCTGCAGTAGGCGGGATCTTTTGTGGAACATCTATTGAGATGTGGTACGCAGAGCATCGAACCCTGGAGTGTTTTCCCAAAAGAGCCAGGGTCATCATTCTTCATCGAAGTGCCTGCCTGCACCAGGGACCTGAGCAACTTGCTACAGCAAGCGCCTTGAGCTGTTTGGAAAACTGTGAGCCTAGTCGTGTAGCTGCTCTTCTTCCCGGCTGCGCACGAGAATACTAGCTGTAGTACCTTCTTGCGATACATCCTTCGGTAGATGTACCTCGGTAAGGATTAAGAGTCATTTGGCCGCTTCTGCATGGGAAACCTGAAATGGCTTTTCAGATGCTGCCCTGTAATCCCGTACAAGGAGTTTTGTCACACTGAGAAGCATGACTTTATATCCAGCCCAGCCCGGCTTGGCCCTTTCCAGGCTCCAGCAGCTCCCAGCCAGGGCTTCTTCGGGCTGAGGTGGAGATTGATGAGGAGAATGCATGCTTGACATTGTGGCCCACCGAGTTGATGGGCTTCCGATTTAGCTGGTAGCTCTGTTTAGTCCGGTATGGTCGAAACCCGCACCGCAAGGCTGTAGAGAGCGCAGATTTGGTTAGCAGGACCTGCCGTTTCCTTGCAGCCGGAAGGGTTGCGGATGCTTCCACGCTAACGCGCCCCTTGCCTTGTTTGCGCCTCATGCTTGGGGAGTTGCAAATTTAGAGGTCCCATTCTGAGGGTGCTACTCCAATTTCTGTTGTTTTGCGGGGTGCGGCATGCGGGCCCATTTAGGATCGTGTGGCTCTTTGAAACGTATTAGTTCAGGGCACGGAGGGCTCCTCATCCTGCAGACGCATCAGAGACTACAGAGGGATACGTGAAGAAGTGAGGGTCCGTTGATGTGTGCACTGACACTTGCTGGGGCTTGAAACTGCTCGTGGCGCAAAGCAGCGAGGAATGGTTATTGCAACAAGCACTGCTGCCATGGTTTCTGGTCAAATTTCTTTGCCACCATCAGCGAGGCCTGTGCTCTCTTCTATTGTGATTTTCACATGGAGTGAGTTGCGTCTATTTAGTCCACGTCTTCCCTGCCTCAGCCAGGTCCTGCAACGGTTGGAGCTGGCTCTGATTTTCTTAGTACAAGCAGCCGCTGACATCGAGTCCAGAGGTCTGCTGCCTACATGGGAACGTATGTTGTTTTTTCCGTGCTGTCATGTTTCGAAAGGTCTTTTGCTGCTCATCCTCCTGTCTCTGTGCCTCGACCGCTGCATTTCAAACGGTGCCGATTTTGGGGCTGGAGCTTGGCATCACTAGGTTTACGCGCCATCTAAGAGTTGAAGATGCAAACATGCGAGGATGATGAGGTAGTTTTCATCCCATATACATGCACCTGAGCATCTCCCTTGCCCTGCCCCACAACGTTGCGGTGTTGGGGCAAGGGAGGTTTTGGTTAGAACAAGGAAGCCTGTAGTATGTGCATGGAATTATGCTGAAGACACATGTTTGTCACACTCATGCTGATAACGCTAAAGATTCTCATTAGCAAGGAGAGCTGTAGGTTGCCTTGTCAGACCTTGTCTAGGTGTCCGGTTCTTCTCTGCAACTTTGGGGAGTCGGCTGGCATGCCCGTCCCGTGGCGACTTTGTGCCTTGTCGATGTTGCTGCTCATCGGCGGCTTCGCCTACGCCAGCTTTCGCTTCGACCAACTGCAAAGCGCTACGGTGGAGATGTCGCTAGCCGTGGAGGCTCTCCACGCGCAGGCGCACTTCTGTTCAAGTGCAGGCAGAACGTTTGCTTCATGCTACTGCTGCATGCTTCAGCTGGCCTTACCAAGCGGGTAGCCGTGTCACTCACAAGAGCGGCACCGAAGTCTAGAACTAGCTTGGACAAGAGCTCTTGATTTTCCCAGTGCACCAACCAACCCACATCTCATGGGAGCTTGTACAGCGTGAGGCAACTACAATATGTCCAGCTGCAGTAGCCAAGCCACGAGGGCATTGTCTCCATGTCTGTCTTGAACTTCTGTCCAGGTGTTGTCGTCCGATCAGTACCTATCCCATGTTTCGCTTGTCTTCGGTGTGACGGGGAACGAATATCCAAGCATCGACAAGGTGTGGCAGGAGCAAGTAGCAGATGTGAAGCTTGGTAGCGGAGGCTAGCGTTCAAAGATTTTCTCGTCCGATGGGCCGTAGGTTTCCTGAACGCGTTTGTGTTAATTACTCGCCGCATCCCCTGTCCCATATTTACAAGGTAGTGGCCTATGGCATGTTAGCATGCAGGTAGGCCCTCAGACACAGCGTTTCTGATGGTTCCGTGCCTGAATGCAAGCTCGCCGTTCTACCCAAGGAAGAGCAGTTTTCTGCGCGCGCGACGCCACTTTCCATGCTTTCAGCTGCTTAGCTTGCACAAAGGTACGACTTGCCCAGAGTGTGCGTGCAGAGTGCACAGTTCTACTGCTGAGATTGCGAGCTTTCCTCAGGTGGGCCGTGGAGAAGGCCGTACAGGCGGCGGGCGCGCATGGCGCGGGCGCGCAGTTGAAGCCTGCCGATGAGGTGTTCCATGCTGCCGTTGCTCGCGGAGGCGCCGACCAGCACAGCCTGCTCATGAACCAGTACTGTCGGCAGCGCACAGTAAACGCATGTGGATGTGAGAGGAGCCGCCCATGTTTTGGACCTCCTGTACTATGAGATCCATTGCAACGGCCTGCTGCATGTGCAACAAGTGTGGCATGAGCTCAGCTCACGTCTGCAGGGCGAGGAGCAGCCTGTGAGGATTATCGCTCTGCGGGACGGCTTTGCCGCTGGGGAGTTCAGTCGATGCTGTGAGGTCGTGGTGTCCATCGACGGCTGCTTACCTGCAAAGCTTCCATTAGCCCGTCCATGTTGCTAATGTCACCGAGCTGTGAGGCCCTGCACCTTTACAGATCAGGTTTGCGGCAAGTGCACCTGTCTCATAGTCTGAGTCCTGGAGGCTACTTGGCCACGGTGCGGCTGCTGGAGACTTCACTGGCTTCCGCAGAGGCGAAGCTGGCAGGCCTCTGCCGCCTGGCCGACTGCTTCGGGCTTCTGGAAGAGTCACGGCCCCGTCGAGGCGAGGCTTGCTCCCAGACTAAGCCCGAGACCAAGGAAGACTCTGTCATCCTTTTGGTTGCCCTCAGCCTTGTGAGGGCCACCATGCTTCTGTGTAGTGCCTACTTCGCGCGACAATACTTGATCCAGTATGCCGGCCCCTCCCAACTCCCGACCTTCCTCCTGCATCTGCTACTCTATGAGGATCAGCAGGTCGTAACCAAGGAACCATCATGGCCCAAGGCACTATGCTTTGCACTCCCCTATGCAGTCTTGGTCATTGTCTTTGCAAATGACTTACTGCGGTGCCGACGCCCGCCCCGGCGGAAGCTGAAGCTTTCGCAGCTCATATATGAGCGCCACTTTGGCGTCTTTGGCGACTACTATGTCTTCAAAGTGGCAATAATGCAGCTTATGACGGTCCTGCTGCAGGCTTTCGGAAAAGTAAAGGTGCTGGGAGCTATTGTTACGTTTGCCATGTCGGAGAACATTGTGGCAGTCTCGCTGCTTGAGCAGACGTTTTGGGTGTTCTGGGGTCTCATGGCCTTGAACAGCACATATCCAAGCCTTCTGTTTGTGCTCCCGGATGCCTGGTGGTGTCGCTATGGCTCTGCTGTTATGGATATCATTTTGGATGTTGGGTATGTGCTGACACATCTGCTGATGATAGCGCCTTATATTGAGCAGCCGCATTTATTTACGTAA